AACTAGTAAAGTAGTGCTATAAGCTTTTGGTAAAAAAACTGTTCAGCCGTAAAAGCTCTCTATTGTTGTTGCCTGAACACCAAAATGCTGGCTTTAATGTTGTGTGGAATGCAAATTTGCTTTCTTCAGCATATTTGCTCTAAAATTAGGTGTTTAAAATATTCTCATAGCATAGTTATACAACACCTTATAAGACAAATTTTGAACGGTTGCATAAACGTTTATACAACTATTTTATACGGCATATCTGCGCGGTAGTGAAAATAGTTGTGTTGTGGCATCCATGGTAACGTTTATACAACAAACCCGAGCCCTGTTGTTTTGGTGTGCACATTTACTTACTTTAGCCAACAAATTTCTCCCAACGGAAGCACTTATACAACTGTCGTTTAGTAACTGTTAAAGGCTGTACATCAGCAACAATATTACAACTTTTATATTACAAAATTGCTGTGCTCGGCAGACATTTGTTGCTAAAAATGCTGGTATACAGCTTCACCGTAACCTAACTTTCTGCTGTCATCTTTTTAGTTAAAATGCCATAACCAATATTTTAAGTCATGCATATTGGTTTAAAAGGTTTTATCAACTGCTCAAACAGGTGATACAGATCTGGTAGAAATTCTGGGTAAATCATTCGACTCTGTCCGTATTTCATTTTAGAGATTTGTCAAATTGTTGTATAACACTTGCAGACAACATCAAAATATTCTAATAAACCAAAGACAACATGGACGATGCCATGATTATACATAGCCACCCGCCATATTGAGCAAAAATATGTTCCTCTATTGAAAATTAATTAATTAATTATGTTTCAGTTTGACACTACAGATATAAAGTGATAAACAGGATTTGTGGAAGATTTAATGTATATAAGTTCAGTTTTCCATCTTAAAAATCTAGACATACTTTTGATCATTATTAAAATATGAATCAAATACGAAGCCCGTACAAATTGCGTAACTACTTTGCACGATAATCACAATAAAATTTGCTGTGCAAGTTATTCAATAGCCCTATATCAGCGTGTAGAAGTTTATCATATACCTGTGTATGAAATTCACAATGGTCGATATGTAAGTAAACAAGATGACTGTAATGTGTAAGTTATCGCCTATACAATACGTAAGAAATAGTTTGGTTGCAATAAGGTAGAATCATGTAATGTAACAGAATAGTTGTATAGTTGACAAAAACTGAATCTTGCACCGACGCAAATGTTCTATAGCGGCTGCAAGAGATTTACACTTTTGTTGTATAATTGTTACCTGCAGCACTTATACAACCTCTTAAATGACTGAAGTGTCCCATTTCGTTCGTATAGCTGTTCTAAGAGCGTTTTGCCAATGTTCTTACAGCATGCAATGCTGGGTAACGAAGACTGTATAATCGTTCTTGCAACTCTAATAGGAGTGATAATTGTTAGTTGGGAGATGAGCTCGAGTATGACGGGCTGGAAAATTTGGCTGGCTTTGTTTGCAATAAATTGCAGGATGAGATATTGAAAAGTTCGTCAAATGAAATTCATGGATAGACCATCTTAGTGAGGGTGGATTATCAAAACCTTCCGCAACTTTCACGAATCAAATTGAGAAGCTGAACAAGGTATTCACTACATTCAACGGGGACGGAATAGTGACAAAAAAGCAAAATTTTATAGGTGAACTTCTGGTGAAGAGCAGCAACATTGACTGCCCTGAAAAAGCTAAAAAATTGTTTTTCGGGTCAAGGATGTTCTTCCGGATCAAAGAACTGAATAAAAGTTTGAAAGACCAGAAAAATCGTAAAAGGAAATGGAAAAAAATGGTTGCTTAGACTAAGTCATTTCCATTTATTGTTATACCACCACCTTACTGCAAAAACAAGATAACTCAATTTTTCTACTTTTCGAGTTGCGTTCATTTTCACACTTACATATACTTAGGATGTTCTGTGGAATAAGGATAAATGTGATACAGTATTATGACATGAACATGCTAATCCTGCTCCACAGAACATACTAAAATATAGGTAATATAGAAAAATGGAGTTATCTTGTTTTTACAGTGAAGAGACGATACGCTCTATTGTGAAATAGGAATTACAGGGTTGAAATCTTTTATTAAAATCCACCATTTTGTTTTGTATACAATTTTAATGTAGCTAGTGTCACTCGCACCGCTAAGACGAATCCAACGATACCTCATATGTGAAAATCTATCAAGCCGTTTGATCTGTAGCTTATGAAGTAGGAATTACAAGGTTAACATATTTTATTAAAATCCACCATTTTGTTTTTTATAAAAGCTCAATGTAGCCAGTGTCACTCGCACCGCTAAGACGAATCCAACGACACCTCATATGTGTAAATCTATCAAGCCGTTTGATCTGTAGCCTATGAAGTAGGAATTACAAAGTTGAAATCTTTTATTAAAATCCACCATTTTGTTTTTTATAAAATTTCAATGTAGCTAGTGTTACTCGCACCGCTAAGACGAATCCAACGACATCTCATATGTGAAAATCCGTCCATCCATTTGACCTGTATGTGAAAATATGCACGTTATCCATATCAACCCAAATGATAATCACTCTCCGCGTGACGTCATGCGAAAATCGAACAGCGGAGCATACGGCCCTGTACACTGTGTATACCTTCCGAACTCGTATACAGGATAGAAGAAGGTAGGCGGAGATTCACTGAGGTAAAATTACATGCTCCAAAAAGCCGATGAGTTGAATAAGTGACGGGCCTCACAGGACACACCCGTTCCCGGAGCACGAGCACGGTGGCAAACCGGGACCCCTAATTTCGAAAATACCTTGATACCGGACCAAATAAATATCTTGAAAATAACAGGATTGGAATAACAAAGATCGGAAAATTCCCCCTATAACTTCCACCGCCAAACAATTTCAAAGAATGGGTAGGAGGCTCAAAAAAAAGGAGTCTGGGCGATATTAATTTTTTCTTTCCGTAGCTCTGATTGGTTTCGAAAAAACTACTGAACCTTAGCGAAGACCGATCGGCGAAAAAGAGTGAGTTGTTTTTTCTTCTTGTAAATCCCATGTAACGTTCAAAAAATAATCATATCTGATTATCAAAATGTTTGGCGATTACAATACATCCTAGCCGATTGGCGATTTTGAGAACACAATGCACAGATTCAGCTTAATCCGGAATCGAATTACATCATCAAAGAGCTTCTTCCTCATGACAAAGTGCGCCGAAATGTGTAATGCAGTTTTATGCTGATTGGTAGTTAAACAGCTTTACAGAGATTTGGTATAACAGATGATTATTATAATAATAAAGCCCTATTATAATTATAAAGCCCGTGATTTATTTTATAATGAAATGGAATCAGCTTAATATAGGTAGTCTAGAGCCGGTGGTGGGCGGAGCCACACAGCTGTCAGTATTACATGGACCACGTGTTCACCACCAGGGGTGTCCAAAATGCATCGGAAGTGCCTGTTTTATAGTGAGATGATTTTAATATTAACTGTCTTTTCAAGTAATATGAAATCTTTTGTATGACAAGGTAATGTTTTGTGCTGGGGAAAAGGTGGAAAAACTGTATCGGCAGTCTAATCTAATCACTGAGAGATCCTGGATTAAGTCTTAACTAAATTTTACGTTGCGAAAATCGTCACTTACATGCCTTTATTTCGTCGGGTTTGGAAACATTAGATTTTCACAGTAGCCTCTTGCAACAACGAATATGAGATTTCTCACCTAATATTCCAAGAACGTAGAACTTTATTGTTTCAGAGCATAAATATTACAAAGAAATCGGTCGAATTTGTTTGAAATGATAATACTTTCATTCCTAGTACTCGTAATCTCGAATCGTGGTCATACTGGAAGGGGTGCAAATTCACCCAATTTTGAGGCATAATATGATGGGGTAAAAATCAAAAAAGTAGTTGTGTTTACTAGAGACAGTGCTCAAACTAGAACGTAAAAAGAAAAGATGCCATATCTTTTATAACTCCAAACTTTCCGATACGCAATCATTGAGTTATTGTGGGTTGTAGAATTTTTCAGTTCCAGTATTTTTTGCTCTCTTGCACTCAAGAAAAAATCCAATATACATTTTATCAATGATGTGCCAAAACATAATTTTTTTTTAAATTTTAGATGCTGGTTTCAAGACCAGCGTCAAAAAATATTATGATCTTATATTTGTTCGTAGTGTTTATTCTAAAATTTCTCCGGAGAATCTGCAGCTGAGGATACCGTTATCCTATATTCCTAATCCTAAAAGAACTGTTTTATATCTTCGTAGCGCCAGTTGCTTTGGACACCCCTCGATGAAAAAAGAGCACCTGGTTGGCTACCGGATATATAGGCAGGCAGACGGTTTTCTACCGCTTGCACCCAATATGGCATTCACATATACCTTGATACACTTTTCAGTTTATCGTGCATTGTTTAAGAAATAAAAGAACAATAAATTATACAAGTTTAAATAAAATAACAAGCTTCGTTAGGCACTGTTTACTATCTATGCCAACACAGAGTGGTACTGGTTTTTATATTTTTGCTAGAAATGTCAAGTATTCGAAAATTAATGGAAAATGACAAATTTGAATTTTTCATTTCAATAGATCCGCCAACCACAAACGCTTTAAAGCACAAACGTTTAAATAATATATCTTAAAAATGTCAATAAAGCTGATGCAGCGGTTCCCAAGCCTTCGCGGTAGCGTAAATGTGGAGAAAGGCGTAAATCGAAATACTTTGCTTTCCCAGAATATAATTTGTTACATGAGAAACTGAATAATCTACTTTTCCAAATATTTGGTTACTGAAATTCCCTCACATTTTTGAAGTTAGCAACTTCGGTTATTGTAGGGGGTTCAATTTAGGAAAAAATAACTCAACTTTCGTCACTTTCTACTAACTGCAATGTCGAAAGAAGAATTAATGATCAAGCAAGAACTGAGTAATGTTTTATGTTTTTATTTTTTATTTCAATTTTTTATTTAGTTTCTTTATTTTTTTGTTTTAGAATATGTATCAAGACGGATTCCTACGTGGTGAATCTCGGAGAGGGAGGGGAAAAGGCAGAGGTGGATCGGTAGGTTTTTACCTTTAATAGTTGATTTTTATTATACTAACAGATAGTAGCAAGTAGTTTTATTGATTCATGTTAGTTTCTTTATTTTTTTTTAAACTAATTGCAAGAGTGACGTGATTTTCCACTATTTTTTGGTTTTATCCGTATTATAGTTTTCAACAAATTTTGGTAACAGATAAAGACTTGCATGTTTAGAAGCTTGTTTTCTAAAAACCGTGACATCAAAAATGCATTTGCCGAGAAAATAAAAATATGTCGAATATCAGTACAAGCTATACCGAGAATACATCGTTGAAACATCACAAAGTCAAAACATTCAGATTGACGTCAAGTAAGTTGAGTCTGTTGGCATAGTTATAATGATTTTGCACAGTTACTTACTATATCTGCAAATTCATTTTATTATGGAGGTAATTTAAAATTTAAGTACCTAATAACATAACCTTGATACGGTGATCGTACTCTAACCGCTGTACCTATTTTCACAAGTTTTGTATAGTGTTAGGGTATGTTCTGAAAATCGGTTAAGGTATTCAGACATCGTGAGCCCTATTTTTGTCTGTTGTTGAGATTGTCATATTTTTGTTTTTCGTTCAGTTATATTAAAATATATTTCGATCGCGAAATTTTTCGATAGTTAATGCTTTGCTACCTCAACAAGTCGAATTTCCATTTAACTGACACAGTATATTACAAATTTCGTTTATGTATGTTTCTAAGCTCTTGATCAGTATCATCCATACTCCCATCACAAATACATGTGTCTGATTTCTTCGAGACCAAAAAGGTGTAGATAAGTTTTCACTCTAGCACGCCCTTGCTATTCTACTTGATTATACAGTCTTTTCATAAAGTTCCCCCTCTCCATTTATTTTTTGAGCAGGTTAAGTTAGCAAGCTGTAATTCGCGATAATGAAATTGATGCATGAATTCCATATTTTGACGCGAAATTGACATGTTTGTTTGAAAATCTCAGGATGGCGATTTTGGACCATTTTTTAAACTGGAATGAGGGGACATATGATTCTCAAACTTCTTAAAAGTACATTTAACTCATCAACTAATCATCAAAACGCTATAGAATGTTATATCAATCTTCTTCTTTTGGAAGGATCAATTCAACTTTGCTACACTATAGCATTTTTATGGTTGCTTGTAGAGTTATAAATGTTTCCATGTACAAATGATTTCAATTTCTATCGTTATAATTTACTCATAACTTCATCAGGTACCACATGACTCCCGATTTCGTTTGAAAAAATGACCCAAGATGGCGGTAGCAGTCATGCATCAATTCTATCACTCCAAATTTCAGCTTGCTAACTTGACCTTTTCAAAATATAAGATTAAGGGGTGTGAACGACTAAAAGAACTGTATATCTTTTATATGTATCGTGCACAAAATACATCTTTGTTGCCTGGTATTTAATTTTATTGTACCAAATTCTGATTCCGCCCTGCAGTAGCGAGCGCCAAGCGTCGAGCCACGAATTTAGGTAAAACTAGGGCATTAGCCTGTAACAGTGAAAGTGGTCCTGGAGGTGCGCGTCCCAGCAGCCCGCTCCGCTAGCACAAAGCACCAATCTGGAGCTCATCCATTCTACACAGCACGACACAGTGTTGCCAGCACCCAGTTACCCAGTTGTAATAGCAACGGCTTTTTATAACACTGTGCGAATGTTGCTCAATGGGTGACGTTCAAATAATTCTAAATTTGTGTGGAATGTGGATATGTTATAAACGTATCCTACCTGAAAATAGCTAATCCAATACTATATTCCCGCGTTCGAAAAATTATCCGAGAGGAAATGAGATACCGTAGCGTGATCTGGAAGAATTTTTTCCCTTTTTCTCCTTTTCGCACTAATTAGAAATCTTTTTTGAAAATGCTAGTGTTTCATAGATGACGCTGTGGCCAAATATGAACTGATATAGTTATAGCTTGTATTTGGCTACTGCGCCATCTATGAGGCACTAACCTCTTCAAAGTGGATTTATAATTATTGTTGACAGGAGAAACGTAACTGTGACAAATACAGAAGTTTAGTAGGTTAGCTATCATCAGGTAGAATCCGTTAATCTATGGTTATAGTCAAAGTCCGAACACAAGTCAAACCTTAGAATGACTAGTTGTGTCGCTGGGTGACCGGCGGTTTTTGTCAGTATGTAAAATACTTTTGAATGGCGTCTCACGGAATAAAATCATTATATAATGATCATGCGGAGAAAGGTATATAACAAAAAGAAGGTAAATAATGGGTAAAATCCGCAAAAAGGAGGAAAGTGGATTCGAGCAGAAAATAGGATAGGTAACCCGAGCGATACGTATTTCTGCTGTTTGGCTTCATCAGGCCCAAAATGAATGCACATATGAAACTACAAAAGTAGATACCCATGCCCACACATCCGGATACAAGTGTGTAACCTGAGGAAATGAAGATCCTCCTTTTGCGGATTTTGCCCATTATTTTAATACTTTTTTGTTATATAGCTTTCTCCGCAAGATCATTTTCTCTTTGTAGATCCTTTGGGCTTGAAGTACCACAGCAAGTGGCTTTAACCGGTCGCGTGGTTGTGGTTAGATGTCTCCTTGAAAATACGAGGTCTTCTAGCCACTTTATACTACAATGTGTAGGTTGGCTCTTGTTGTGGACTTGGTGTGTCGTTTTTTCCCTCTCCATCTTCGTTTCCTCAGGTTATACCCGTATCCAGATGCATGGGTATGTGTATCTACTTTTGTAGTTTCATAATTATGTGCATTCATTTCGGGCCTGATGAAGCCAACCAGCAGAAATACGTATCACTCGGGTTACCTATCCTATTTTCTGCTAGAATCCAATTTCTTCCTTTTTGCGGATTTTGCTTATTATTTTCCTACTTTTTGTTATATATATAAAGATCTACGTTGTACAACTCTAGTGGTTTTAATCAAGGCAACAAAAAGCAACTTATTTCTATTATATAATTAAATACATTAAAAAATATATGAGTAACTAAAAATTAAATTTATTTTGTTAATATAAAAATTATTGAGGGAAAAATGATAAATTATACCTCAAGGAAGTCCAAGTGTAACTTTTAATGGTTTAAATAAAATATTTGTAAAAACATTAATCATAAAATATTAATATAAAATATAATTTTAAATGATTATAAGAAACAATTTGAATATTATCAAAATCAAGTCATCGCTCGATTTTTATTGCAGTTAGGATTGCCTTAAGCAACTTATAAAGCTTTTGAGGTTTGCCATCAGATCCATCCTATTTTTCAATCTATGGTTACAATTATTTATCAGCAAGAAAAATGCAGGAGACTGTATCGCATAATCAAAGCAGTATCAGCTTTCTTAATTCGGCGGTCTGTCGGACTTTAACCAAAATCTCCGGTTATTGCCAGGTTTGATAACTCTCTAAACTCTGCCTATGACCGTTACATAGAATATTAAAATATTACCTGATACTTTATTTCTCTCCATATTCTTCAATTTTTGCGCATATATCAAAATAATATGTAACCGTTGTCACGCTCAAGGTGTAATTGATACTTTGTAGTTGATAGGTTTTTTTTAGTTAAATCGTATTTTTTTCTGGACCAGAAGTACTGGTCATGTCCAAGTGGCACAGGGTGCTTCTTGTTAATTCATGTCTTCATCGAAACTCGGAACTTTGTCTCCGACGTTTATTTTATGGCGTGACAAAAGTGAGCGAGCCCTAGGTCATTTCCATCACTGACAAAAAGTATTTAATACCCTCAGCATGTTTAAAACCTTTCGTGCTATTGAAGAGTCGCGTTTCTATAACTCCGTTTATATCAAAAATATCTCTCGATAGGCCGTAAGTGGCATTAAACGGTTTGTAGAAACATTTCATCAATTCTTTTTTGATCTCATTCTGCCTGTTATCTTTTCCCTCTCATTTCTTTCGATTTTATTTCTGCGTTAGCAATCTTGATAAAATGTCACTGACACAAGAACTATTCACGTAAGTTTTTCTGACCGCTCTCACAGCAGTGACTTACTTGAACTCATCAAAATCCACAGAACTTGTAGTTGCGTATCCAATCTATCATATATTTACTGTGCCAAATAGTTTAATTAATCTGTGAATTGTGAAATGAATTTGAATAGGTTAGAAGGAGCCTATATGTTTACATTGCATTGTTTGACGCCAAAATTTTGTAGTTTTAGTGAATACTTTTGGCTCATTTGCCTACCATTGCCTACCAAAGTGAGAGACGTATTCAATTAGCTAATCATACTGGGTGTAATCACATTTAGCAAGGCAGAAATACTATCTGTGTTGCGATATGAAACATCCAGTCACTATTAATAATCAGGGGCAAATTAAAATAGGCAAAAAATTAAAGCAAACATTTATTTACGGTATAGTATATGAACAAATTCTGCTTAATTCGTGATTTTGACAGGTGAAAAATACGAAAAATTCTTCATCGAACAGGAACCGAAAGCCTGATATTACAAATAATGGGACACCTTGCGAATCCTACTCGGTTTTTCTAAATACTCGTAGTTGTCGTGATCCGAGTAAATTCTTGCAAATATCTAGTCGAGTATCTTATAGAACTCACTGCTACTATGTCATTGTCACTATATTTATCCATAAAAAGATTTGGAAGTCTTTTAATCAGTTTGATATTCATGTTTTTTTGGGCCTACTGAGGAAGCCTACAATGACGTGGCAATAAAGTGAGAACGTAAAATCACTATTCATAATAATAATAAGTTTCAGTTGGACTTTTTCATTGTTCTTCATAAACACTGTCCATTTATCAATGTTGTTGAGGTATACAATCTTGTCAACAAATCTTAGATTCGGACTGACTCAAAGAAACAAGGAGTGGACTGAAATAAATCAAAATTACGTCACAACTGTTTAGGTAAAAGCCCAACACCAATGACTATAACACTTGTCGATCAATTATTCAGCTTAAAATGGACAATTGTCTGGAACGCTAAGACTGTATGGAATCCGCGCACT